GAAATGTATTATGAATGTGTGGAATTGGTTTCAATGTATGATGTAATATTTCTCCATTAGGAAGGGCAAAGTGCGCACTGACAGATGATTTGTTATGAATAACATTAAATATATACACACACTCTATACATCTGCCTCATTTGATAAAATGTCAACAATCATCATGAACTTAAAGTAAGTCTACGATACATGCTTTGACATTGCAGCCTACATATTGCATTTACAATTTACAGAACATGTGCACTATATTGGCTTCTGTAATGTGAGTACATGATGCATTTACACTTCATATTTGTCATCCTTTTGTCCATCTGTTCATCCATTTATTCATTTTTTAGAAGCTCTTCTGAGTCAAGGTCGCTGTGGCAACACAGTCAGTATTAACCAGGTGACCTATTCCCAGCAGTTTCTTCCAACACCTCCATCAAGCGTTCCGATGCCAGCTGGGAGATGTAGTCAGAATGATCCGAGTCTGTTCTGGGTCCTATTTTTCATTTAATTCCAAATATAGGTAAGGGACAGTATTTAGGAAGTCACTTTAAAAGTAAGCTGGAAAAAGCTGAACTACAGCAAAGCTAGTTTGAAAAAAAGGAGAAACTGTGTTTTGTGAAACAAAGCTTAAACACAGCAGTTTAAAATACTTTGGTAAAAAGATTATCGATCTGACAATATACATGTGATACACAATTATAATAAAACATATATCATAGGTACCATAACAGCAAGAAATGCCACTTCATTGAGTTCATTCAAAAAGGGCCCAGGTCACAGGTCATGCATTAAATGAAATACAATAAAATATACCCCTACAAATGTATTCACTCATAGGACATTGAGACTGACTTGATCACTAACAAATCCATTGAATAAAAAAGGGTGAGTGATTTGTCAAAGGGGGTATATTACAGTAGAGAAGCTTTCCTGTCAGGGCCAACAATGGATGTAGTGCCAGTGATTTAGCACAGAGAAATTGCAATTGTAACTACTCCAATACATATGCTAAAATTAATGTTAAACTAGTTAATTTCATGTACTTCACAACTTTCCAACACTTGTGAGGGTCAGATTTGAATGATAAACAGCCAAGAAGGATGCCTTCATTTTAATCTCTAGCTTCAGCATGGTCCAGCACGCGAAAACATTTCAGTATGAGAAGTGAAACACGAGGATTAACAGAGCTAAATGTTTGGTTTGTGTTTGGACACGGCAATCTGCAGAAAGTGGTGAACGTTTTCTGAGAGGTTGATTATCAAAGGGCCAGATTGAGGTTGCAATAGGGCTGTATTCGAGCCACGAGCCACAAATTGAAAAGGCCCACTTGGCTCAATTGAAGCAAAAATGGAGCCAGACAAAGCAGAGTTCATAACCCAATGTAAATAGAAAAACATTCTTCAGACTTTACCTGCACCATAATATCCTGCCCATGATTATCTTAAGCCAGGAAGCAAGAAACGCACGTCCTTAAATAACACCCATTTGGAATGAGTTTGAGGTTGTGACAAACAGTGCTTTAAATCTGAGTGTAAAGACCAAAAGTCTTTGTCAACGGTAAACAATAGATTTAGTATTTTTCTAATTCTTAAAGCACCTTCAGACTCATCCATGCAACATTGAAGGGGCATGTCAACCACAAAAGCCCAACAATCCAGAGCCGCAGGATTTCAGGATGTCGTGGCAGCGTGCCTCTGCGGAGTTTTTTGTTTATTTTGTGATTCTACTCTGATACAGTTTTTCATATTTAATGCATCAAATAAATGTATTTTTTTAGTTTTATTTACTTAACTTGTGTTCTAAATTTTTATACTGCTTTAAAAGGTTAAATTCACACCCATAGCGAGACTGTTTTTGTTGCCTACTTTTATACTCTTTATTGTCTTATTTCTATGAAATAAATTCCATTGACTGGTACATTAACATCCCAAATACAATTTTTTATTTTAGAAATTGTATTGTTTTGTGATGTCAATGCGTGTATTTATGATATGCAACCAGGGAACCATCAAACATGAGACCTCGGTCTCATGGGTTCTCCTTGGCAAAGTAAAGGTTAAATGTGTTGGTTTATCCTACTTTTAAGTGGAAACTTTATTCAGCCATGTAAACGTATTTACTTTATTTTCATATATCCATCCATATTTGTGTTCATATTTATTCCTTTGTGTATAGTTTTTATATTATTGCTGTGTTGTATTTTGTCTTCTTTTCCTCTTCTGTCTTTTTACTGTTATCATTGTTATACAGAATGAGCCTCGGGGGGTCTTGTGGCGGCACTTTCATTATTGTCAAAAATGGCTCGGCCTAATTGTGTTAATTATAGATCCATGACTTTCTTCTTTACAGTGCATGCGACTGAACATTGCCACTGAGAAGCCAACTGTATGTTGTCCCTGTACTCTGCAGGGCTTGCCTGAAAACCAGAGAAAGCCAGCCAGACCGGGCAGAACACTGCTGTTCAAAACAAAAGAGCTAATTTTGCCCCCACCAATCCTCCCAATTATGGGGACCCTTCCCCCGCCTAATCCTGACCTCTGCTCTGGGATGGGCCCCACTTTGCTGCCCTGAGCAATGACATTCCACAGGTCAGGTCAGTTCTTTGTCCTGAGGAAATTAAGGTGAAATTAAGGTGCTTTACTTCCTATCCTATATCCTTTGACCTGTTTAACATGCAATGTTTCCACAGGCTATGGGCCCTGATGCCAAACATTTAATTTACTTTCAAACTAGTGTCATTTATTTTGAAAACAAAGAAGCTTTATTTAATACAGTTTTACTTTCTGTGGTCCCACTGGCCTTAAAAAGTTTTCCAGTTCCTACTTGTGGAAAGTGTGGCAAACACATTACAGTTGTTGGCAAAAAAGAGGTTTGCAAAAATCACCACATAAATTGCAGCTCTTTTCCAACTTGTCCTTGATTGCCCTACTTGCTGCAACAGTTTGGTTACCTCTTTACCTGCATACTGAAACAGGCTGCCCATAGATGGACTTTTTTTTCTTTGTAACAGATTGGTGGTGCATGGAAACATGTTGAGGTAGGCAAATAAGAAGAAAAAAAGACAGGAAATGATCTCACAAACACACCCCCTCACTCTCTCTCTCTGATTGCTCCCATTTTCCAGTCACACAGTGAGTAATTCCTTCTGGTGCTTTTTAGTTTGCTGTGTTCCTCTTGTGGATGTCCCGAAAACTATATGGATAACGGCTTCAATGCTGTGCAGTATCCACACTCTATTCATTTCTCAAATAAAACCAATGCTGATTCTCTATTGATCATTGTTCCTGATGACATTTTACTTGATACATCAGAAGCTTTGGCAATATTTTAATATATCCTTACTAGAACAATACCCAGCACAAGTGAGAAAACCTCCTCCAATCCGACAGAAGATAAATCTCAAAGTAACCAGCTGGCACACTAACCCATACCTCTTTGATCTCTGAATGTAATTAAAGACTTTATAATTATATTTTTGCCAAATGTGAGATGAATGACTATACAGGGCCTGGAGGCGTCTTTAAAATCAGTGGCTTGAGAACTGCCATGGCATGGTGAAGATAAGTGAGGTGGAGTAGGATAAGGAAAGCACTAACGTTGTAGAAAGAAAAACGCACTTGTGGTAGATATCCTTCTTGTGTGCATTGGGGCAAGTTAAGGACACAAACATTAGTGAGAATGACAATAATTGTAATCCATATTATTTGGAGAACACTCCAGGTGTTTTGTCGACCATTGTTAAGCGAGTGAAAAATACACTGTTGCCCTGACAACTATCTGATAACTGCAGGTAAATGTTTTATGAAATTCGATGATAGTTGTGTGTGGGCGGAAAACAAGGTAAGGCGTGGCAAATAAGGTGTTTCAGGGTCAAAACATTTTGTTGAAACTTGTAAAAATTCCATTGTGGTCCAGTGTGGCGCATACAAGACGTGTTGCCTTCTTTTAACTGTATGTTCAACCGTATAACTAATTACTGAGTTCCAAACGCAAAAGTTGTGTGTTGCCATTTCCTTTGGTTTAACAGTTGGATGAGCAAGTGCAGTGACAGCAAAGACAATTCATCTAGTTTCTGGAAGAGCAAAAGAAACAGCCAGGGATATCAGGCAACACTAAAAACAAGACATTATGTTTCTTTATAATCATGAAAAGGCACACATAACTGGGAATCTACGATATAGAAAGTTAAAATTGTGTTTTCATCAACAATACTTGAAATATTAATATCAAACAATAACATGATTCATGAAATACCCCTACACATAATACAGTATAATGCATGTTATACTTGTTTATTATTTGCATGTGCATGTGAAAGTGCTTTTAGCAAGCTCACTTTCTCAGATGAAAGAAAAACCCTTTTAGTAGTATTGCGGCAATAAACTATAATCTGATGTATACGCTGCAGGCTTTCACACTTTATTATAAAATGACTGTACCACACACCACACCCCACTGTCTGGGAGACAAATCACAAAGCAATACATGTATTGCTATCACCAGCCAGTGTGTGGCTTATTGATTTGTTACCTCTTTTTCTTAACATATTTCGCCTCAAACTGTTGAATGTATGTTTCCAATGGCTTTACAAACACTTTAGAAGGAAATATAATAATCAAATTAAAGTACAATGTACATTTATCAATTGAGCTACACATTGCCAAATGTAATGTTTGAACAAAATGTTTCTTACGTCTTTAGCTTAAAGTTTTGTTAAAAATAATAAATTGCACAAATGTTTCTTTTGAATTCATTTGCTAGGTTTGTAAAAGTGTAAGCACACTTAATAAGCAGGAACACATTTCGTTTCAAGTGTTAAATATAGAAAGAGGGAGTGGCCTCAAGGTTTTCAAATCCTCACATTATTTCTATTTGCTTGAAATGTGACACCCCATGTATCTGCTGAGAAAGAGCGGTAAGACAATAGATGGCGTTTGAGGGCACAGGATTAGAAACGTTTACACTCTGTCATTTTAATACAATGTCCAGTCGTCAATAGACCTTCGTTGGTGAGTTTTACTTAAAAAACTAACCAATTACATCCAATGATAAAAGTTTTGTAACGAAAATCAAATCCAAACTGATGGATAGAACAAGTAAAAAGAAGTTTGGTACCTCAGTGCAGCGCTTTAAAAAAATAACGACCAATCAGCGATGAGACACAAACGTAGGCGGGACGGACTGTTTGATTGACTTGATATCCCTCCAATCAAACTCTCCAGTCAGTGACATTGTCCAATCATGTGCGGGATCGACCCGCTGTAGCCAACGAGAGAGGATTTTCAACAAGCTCAGAGAAAAGCGGAGACAGACAGACATCATTTCTCTCCCAGCTTCTTTGGACTATCACACGACGCCAAAGAATCAAGAAATAAAGCATCTTTCTCTGAACAGGATTATAACGGTCTAAATTAATACCCAAACATTTAACATGGCCGACACAGCTGTAGAGAAGACCATAACTGCAGAGGTTACTGCCAAGGTACGTTTAATTCCGTTTTTTCTCGGTTGAACTGTCGTGTTAAAAAGATTTTTGAACTTTTGTTTTAAGTTGTTTTATTAACTGTACGTATATTAATAATGTGGTTTAGCTACTCCCGTTAAACAACCGTTGTCGGTGGAATTACACGTTCATTTTACTTCATGTTAAGTTTAAACAATGACGTTAATTTGGGGGAAATAAATTACCTTAATGACTTATCTTAACATTTCACAAGGTGACTTATTTTCAATTTATCAGCGTGGACAGCTAAATATTGTGTGTGAAAATGCAAACGTATTTGATGTGGTTAGGTTAGCTAAAGTGTCTTGTTGAGCAGACAAAGCGGCAGATACGGTGCGTCTGGTTTTAGCTGCTGCTGTGGGCGGGAAGCCTCAGCAGCCTTACATTACACTACTAGTTTGGAAAAAACGTTCACCATTGCAACTAATTATGTCAAACAATGTCTTCCTTTAATTATAATGTATCCCACATATGGCAAATTAGTTTTCTTTAATTAAAACCAGACGTAGTAGGAGCGTCTGCCCCCTTCAGAATAAACTCGTTGCTTTATTAATCAAGAGACGTGCTTTTATTTTGTAGGAGCTGAAAGAGAAGAAAGAAGTAGAAGCGAAGGAGGTGGAGAAGGAGAAGAAGACCGACACCGGGGACGCACCTGCCAATGGCACAGTGAGTAGAGGACCGGCCTCATGGCCTTTTGTCTTTGCACCCCTCATCATGCAGGTGTCGCTGCACCCGCCCCCCCATCCTGTTCAGCTGCTCTCCCTCCACACAGTGCTTTGTTTGGGTTGTGAAATGGGACAGATGTTAGTTAGCAAGTCCTTAGACGTTTTCCATTGGTGTCTCTCTAGGGTAGCTTGGTAGCTTATGCCCAGGGGGGGTAATTGAGAGCTCCACACACATGCCTTTTTTAAGTGTCCCCAGAGGAGTGTGTACATGTAAGACTCTGGGGGGATAAGTGGAAATATATGTTAGGGATTAAATGTAAATACATATATCTGTTTAACATGTATCTTATATTTAAAAATCCAAATCATGCTGTGTTACTGTTACTGAACTCACTTTTCCCTGTTTTCATTCAGAATGGTGCTGACCACAGTGACAAAGCAGAGGACAAAGCAGAAAACAAAGCAGAAGACAAAGCAGAGGAAAAACACAAGAATGGAAATGGTATGTTCATAGAGCAGTATTATGGTAAAATAATATTCTTTTAAGAAGAAACTATTTTAAAAGAGGCTTTACAACTCTAACTTTGTTGCTTCTGATTTGACTCATTAACACTGTCAACGTGTGTGGCCCTGAGTTCCACTTTGACAAGATAGTATTTATTTTCTTCCCATGAATCTTGTCTTAATTACTCCTCATGTGAAGGATGTATTTTCTGATGTGACTAACTGCTTACAGGAGAAGCAAAGAAGGCGCCCCCTGCTGAGGAGACTGATGCACCGCCCATGAAGCGTGCAGCTGAAGAGGAGGAGGAGGAGGAGGAGGAGGTGGGTTGTCACCAGACTGAATTATACCTTTTTGACGTGTGTTTAGTAATCTGGTGAAGTTCAGTCTTTGCTAATGCATCAAATATTTTCCTTATTTTTTAAATAGGAAAAGGTGGAGACAAAAAAGCAGAAGACAGAGGAAAATGGAGCTTCAAAAGAGGCAGAAGTGAAGGCTTAGGTCTCTGCCCTGCTACCTGTTTGCAGCACTGTCTTGGTCAACATCGTGTTGTAGAGCTTGTGCTTTCTGTACCTTTTTTTGAGAAATATTTCTTTTTATTTGCTCCCATGTTATCACATTGCACTGGAGTCCTGAAACCTAGTGGCCCTGCATCCTTTTTTATGAAATGTTATTTATTGGTCTTTAAAATTAGCTTTTTTTTTACTTGTACAAATTGGGCCACACCATGAGATCAGTTTTTTCATTTCTTGAGGTTTTATATCAGTATGTTAGAAGCACAATCTCTCATGTCAGTGCTGACCAGATGATTCATACAATTCAGGCAGCTGCTCACTTCTTCCTAGTTCTCATGTTGACCTCAGATTCACTTAAAGGACCAAAGATAAGTTTTAAGCAGGGGCTAATGGACAGTTGTTCGCATTATTAGTTGAGGCATACTTTTTTTGTGTTGGGCTGCTATTTAATCCTTGGCTTGGCTGCCCTGTTAACATAACAGATGGTGCAAATGAATAAAGGGGATCTGTCTTGCACCTCCATTATAAGATTGCTTGACCTTGTTTTATGGAGGTAAAACGTTGCAATGTTAATTAACCCCTCTTAAATCTTAAAGCTTTGGTCATTTGTTCTGTATGCATTCCACGCAACTTTGTACCATTTATACTTTGTTTTTCTTACAGTTTTATGTTATGGCTGGGTAGCCCAGTTTTGTGTCGAAGTCTGCCTTTTCAGAACCAGAATGACATTTGGTTACTTCAGCCACTGCTTTGTATATTCTGATTAAAAAAATGAATTGTCTTTTTACTTAATTATATCTATTTTGTGTTTTTTACCTTATCCTTAGTGCTTATTAATAACATGGCTTTTTAAGCAGATGATGTCACTTGACCCAATTTCTCTAAACATGGAAAATGGCTGGCATAGATGCAGGAATCATCTTATCCACTTGGTAATGGAAACGGGTGCAAAGATTCAATATTGCAGTTTCTTGTCTCATGGCTCCCTCCTGTGGTGTATCCACAGTTTGCGGATAATTATTTCTAACAACTGGTACTGTAGGGGCCACAACGGTCATCAGTGAATAACAATAATTGACACAGGAGTCCAAGATGCCAAAAATTATGATTTTTAGTTTGAACTGAAACCTGAATAAAAGTAGCTTTTACAGTAACACTGCTAATATTGAGCAATAGGTGGTTCCATATAACACGAAAACTCAGTATTTGTTTTTTCTCAAGCAAGCTGCAACAGCATGATCCAGAAACGTTAGCATGGCGGGAATCCAGTCAGTCCAGGAGACCAAAAAATAGGCAATCGACATTTTGCTTTGGCAGCAATTAAGACTTGCACCAGTCTTAAACTGTATATGTAACTGATGTCAATGAAACCATCAGTATGGTAGGCTTTAAAAGGTTTTATAGTCAAATTAACCTTTTGTTAAAGTCCTGAAGTCAGTCGTGGTGCCTGTGTTGAGGCAGAACAGACAAAAGCATACTGCCGTTTCTCATGGCACAGACAGATTTAAAACACACAACTATTATGTACCATTTTGTTTATGCAGATGGATTCTTAAGGATGGACAAAGGAATAAAGTTGGAGATTTCCTGTTAAGGAAGGGGCTAACAAGTAGGTAATACTGAGTTGATGGGCCGCCATGGTGGAGCAGAAGCCTACTACCTTAAGCATGCGCCCTAATGATGACAATAAGCACTTGATGCTGGCTCTATGAACCCCCATTGTCTTTTCCTTTTTTACGTTGTCCACCTTCAGGGTTACCCATATGAGTCTTCTCCCTGTTTGCTGATCTTCTGTTTTGTTCGGTTTCCGACTGAATGCTGATTCACACCCCAGTTTCAACTTCTCCTCTTCCTGATAATGACAAGAATCACTGCCATTATTACAATGACATGGCCCGGAGTAGGGTGACAGCTCACGGCTGTACCATGGCTTAGTGAGGGCCCAGACAGAATTTGCCACCAGCAGACATTTCTCTGTGTCTTTGAAAGTTTGTGTGCGTGTATGTGTGTCATCCTATTAGCTATGGCTCTATGCTGACTAAGCATTAATTATCATTTTGCTAGTCGCCTAGCACCAAAGTGTGAAATGTAGGGATGACACACTGGTGAGTTTCATTATGAATAGCTTGTGTAAAGAGTGGTGTTTTTATTTGCTGTAAAAATGTGAAGCCCTTCAAGACTGTAACTGTGATTAATTGTGTTCAGCTTCAAGTGAGTATGTGTTTGCTAAATTAAAAAAGCTCTTGATTCAATGAAGGAGCCTCAATTGGTGAATGTCAGTGAACACTGGCAACACAATCATTTAGTCAGAATGATCCTGCCTAAGGCGTGATGCTAATATGCTAACTCAGAGAAACAGGCAGGTAGACATTCCTTTGGCCGTAAAACAAAACATTAACACAGGCATTGAGAGATTACATTGCAGCTCATGCAGATGTTAGGCAACTGATAAAAGGAAGAAAAAGAGGGGGAAAGCTGTGGTTAGCCTGAACGTGGTGATCAACATTTATATACTAAACACCAACAAGCAAGAAAAGATGATGCAAGATTTTACAGCAAATAATCAGACAGAAGGGGCTAAGCTATCTTCAAAGAGTTCACTCACACTCTGTCACACATATTTGTCCCACACTTCATTCAAAAAGGTCACACATTCAGTAGCAACAGTAAGGAAAAGATGCATGGGCACACACACTGTATGAACATACTGGTCATGTTAACACAAATAAGAGCAGTGGCCAATGTCTGTCTGTCTGTCTGTCTGTCTGTCTGTCTGTCTGTCTGTCTGTCTAGCTCTGAGAAGAGCAGTGCTGAATACTGTGAAACTATGGAACTGTGCTGTACAGGATGTGCAATGTGTCAGTGCTGTGAAGGTCAACTCACTCAGAGACCAAGCGACAGTGTGGGAGCGTGTGCCAGTTGAGTATGTGTGTGTGTGTGTGTGTGTGTGTGTGTGTGTGTGTGTGAGTGTAAGGCTGTGTTTGAAGTAAAGTAAATCAAGTGCTAAATGTGCACCAATAGTGGCTGGGTCTCGCTATCGGGGGGCTCACCCTCAGGGGGGGGGCAGCTGGTACACCATGCAGAGAGAGGAGTACAGGCAGCCCACGAATGACATCAGGCTCGCAAAGTACATCACTCCCTGGGCCCCACCCACCAGTGAGGTCAGAGGTCCCATGGCTACTGAGACCAGGATCTGAGCCAGGAAGTACTGGCAGCTGAGCAGAGAGATGTCCACCCCCATCCCGCGTTTGGTCCCCTCCTCTGATGAGCCACAGAACTGAGGGACAAAACGTTTAGATAAGATCAATCTATGAAGTGCATCACAAAACACTACTTGACTGAAGGAGCGGTTCAATCTTTTGGTAAATGTGCTTCGTCACTGTCTTGCTGAGAGTTAAATGAGAGGAATAGGCCTCCTTCACCAACCGTTCTTAAGAAATGAGAAAGAACATGAATATTCTGACAATCATCAATGTTTATCTTATTTTGGATTTACTCACACTTACACCCATTTGAGTGCTTACATTATTGTGTAAAATAATTGGTTATTGTGTTTTCTTAAAATCAACTATACAACAAAACAGTTGCATAACATTACATTTAAGTTACAATACAAAAAGATATATATTTATAATGTTATGTTATTCTTGTGCTCATTATTTTACAAAGCATTATTGTATATTTTAAATAAATAAACACTCATAAACACCTAATGAGTAAAAGTATCCCATGTTTCTTTTTTGTGACATTTTACATGTACTACTCGTGCTAAATATGAAGCTTGCTTGGTGTTGCTGGAGTACCTTGACAATTATTGTTTTTTTCAGTCCCAAATCCTTTTATGGTGATTGGCTGGGCATAGATGCTAATTAGTATCAGCTGTGACACGCTTTCAATTTACCTTCATTATAAGAACAGAGGTGATAACATTAAGCTGTCTGTGGCTCTGCTGTAACTATGTGAATTTCCCCTTTGTGGGACTAATAAAGGGATTCTGATTCTGATTATATTTGTTGAACAAAATGAGAGTAGTTTAAATCTTCTCACCTGAGTTGATCATGGTAAAATATCACTAAGCATTTACAAGTTACATATTTAGACACTGACCTGAGGGTCCTGGTAGTATTCACACAGCAGAGAGTAAGGCAGCGTGCATAGAGAAGAGAAGAGCACCCCATAGGTGACGCAGAGAGAAAGTACCACGTAGAGGTTGTTGGACAGTGTGGCCAGGCCCGTGCCCAAACCAAACGCCAGATAGGCAAAAAAATAAAGAGTGCGAACAGAGAAACGCTCCTCCAGTTTCTCCAATATGGCTTTAACCCAAAGAGAAAACAGAGGGAAAACATGTTAGGCTTGCCAAGGAAAAGGAGACACATTCTTTGTGAAATGACTCTTTCCTGCAAAGATGTGAGAGCGAGCGGAGCTTACCTGAGTAGAAAGCAGCACTGAATGCATAGATGCACATGCCCCAGCAGCCCATGTTCACTCCGGCATTGTACCGTTGGTAAGCCTCAGAGTCGTGGGGTGCCTTGGGGTCTCCTTCAAACACAACCTCACCCATGAAGTCAGTGTAGAAGAGCAGCATGCCTTCAAAAGACAGCCAGCCTACAGAAAACGAACAAGAATCAGCTCAGGGAAAATTAAGTACAATACAGATGTGTTTTTGCAGTGTTTTAAGTGCAACAACATTTATAATGCTCACCCAGGAAATGATTAGTGCATAAACTCCGCATAGAGGGAGGCATCCTGTAGATGGCTATACACAGCAGCTTAATTGACATCTGTGATTCTCCTGTCTCGGCATTCTCAGTCAGATCACTCTCATAGTGCACCCCATTCAGCAAAATGTTTGCAACCTTCATCAGAGACAAAAGACAGACACTGTGTTGAAAATGCTATGATGGTAACTGACTAAACTGCTTTTGTAATTTTAAAATATGTGCCGACCTGCTGACTGAAGGTCACCGTTCTCCTGCGTCCGTTCTCCATCCCAGCAAAATGTGTTGACATGGGCTCCTCAATTAGTGCAAGACTCTGGGGTCGCTTCAGGATACCAGCAGAAGAGCGCCGATGTGACCCAGCACCAGGCTGAGTCCCAGCTGTGACCTGAGTTTGTGCATCTCCCTCAGGCTGTGGCGCTTCCGCATCCTGATGAGACGCCACATCAGCCTGGGTCTGTCCTGTAGGACGGCTTCCTGCTCCCTGTGTGAAGTCCTCAGGGTGAGGGGGGTCCCCTGGAGGCAGGGCCTCCGAGGTGGAGTTGGGGGCTAGGGCCTGTGGAGTCTGCTGGCCTGTGTAGCAGTTTATGAGCACACTGTCTATATAGGAGTTTCCTAATGAAGAGGCAAAGTCATTTATGCCTGTGAGCGAGGTGTCCCTGCTGATAAAGCTGCCATATTTTGGAGTGAGGGGGCTCATGGGCGATATTGGGCTTGTGAGACCAGCACAGAGGCGTGCATTGGCACTACAAGAATGTGCAAGGGGGTCCGAGTTATATGGGTGAGACTTTGAGTAATGGTAGCTGTAAAGAGCATCTTCGTCTTCCTCATCCAGTCCCAGAGCTGATCCTGGAGGGACAGGGGGAGAGGGAGGAAGAGGGAGGCTGGGGCTTTTTAGATGAGCTTTGCTGGAGTTTTTGTTCTTTGGTAGCGGGCGCTCAGGGATACTAAACAGAGTCATAGCTGTGGCACACACCAATGTGATACTTGTGAACATGTATATGACTCGTAGTTGACCTCCCATCGACCTTCCAAATTGTGTCTTGTCCCAGTTGATGCCGCCCACGATGTAGCCAAATCCACCTCCGAGTCCTGCAGAGCAAGTTTAAGAAACAAAAAATAACAATTGTGCATTCACTGGTTATGTCTTAAAACATTACTTTATAGGTCTATTTTCACCAAAACTACCTTAAAGAATATAAGCTATAGCTTCTAATGTAAAATGATCAGTGTTTTCCTACCTGCAAGTAGTGCATGAATGTTCAGCCCTCGATCCTGGTCCTCTGGGCTGCACACGTCCATCATGTAGGCATGGCTCGGGTTGTCGGCTGAATCAGCGCTGAAGTCCATCAGAACCACACCGCACACCGTCAGGATGATTCCCCACTTGTGATTTGATGCAGTGTCAGCCAGCGCACTTCCAATGTCCCGCCCGTTCAGTACCAGGGTTAGACCTAGCAGAGCACCTACAAAGGAGAAAAGTACAGTTCAACCAAATCTTGACATTCAGTTTTAGTGTCAAGTATGGTCAAATATTAAGTAATTGATCACGATAAACACTTTCCAGGTATGTAATGTGACATGGTCACGAGGTATCTTGGTAATTAGTAATCATTTACAACGTCTGTGGATTTGGGCATCATCCACATTACAAAAGTGTAACAAAATATGTTTATTAATGTGAATTGGCATTATGGGATGTGGAGAATCCAGTATTTTTGCATCATACTGTACATTTGTATTTCCACATGTATAATCTTTTTTAGTGCTATTTCAGAAATATTTTGGATTGTTTATTTCTTTTGATTTATTTTGTGTACATTGCCTTGTCTTTTTATGCTGCTGCAACGCAAATATTTTCCAAATTGGCATCAATAAAGTACTTCTTATCTTATCTTATTTATCTTAAATCAGGATATCTCAGTCTCTGTCGCATCAGTTTTAATGATTAAATGTATCTCATAGGTTCCCCCAACTATACATAAGTAGACTTAAATGCACAAAAATAAATAACTTACCTATAGCCAAGGCAAAAATAAAGGGTCTCCTCCGTCCAAACCGGGATTTACATCGATCACTCCATGCTCCGAGGAGAGGCTGAACAAGGAATCCTTCAAGCCAAACACAGAGGAGGGAGATAGAGCATTATGTTCTGCACAAAATGATTGTTATTGAAAATCACATGATGATGTATCACATATTCCAGCCCCCCATGGTTTCATCTTGCCTACTGTTTACTTACCCAGTATGGGGCTGATAAACCACACCAAGCTGTAGAATTGATCGGGCAAGCCCATCTGTAGCAGCACAGGAGTCACATAAGCCGTCTCCATGGCATAACTAAATTCAATACCAAACAGGACACAGCCATTGAAGAGCAGATCTTGGAAGGTACGTCTTGGGGGAAGCTCACTGAGGTCCAGCTGGTCTAGGGGACAGGGTGTGTTGGGCGGTGGAGGCGGTGAAGGTCTTATCAGCTTCCGACGCTTTGGATGTCTTTGAAAGTTGTTGGCTCTGTGACTGAGGAGCCGAGTGGTGGATGTTGGAAAGCTGGCCGTTTTGGGGAGTGAGCTCCTCCAGAGGCCTTCCTGAGCTGCAGATAACCTCCCTCCTGGACTGGTGAGGAGGGGGTCACTGGGGGTGCCCATGCCTGGAGAGGACATCTCTCTCAAGCCAGTTTACACTGCAGCATGTAATAGGATGACACACATTGACAGGTTAAAACTTCTTTGGGGATGATTTTTCATATTAGAGGTCATTCAAGATCACCACAATGTAGCATGGTGTGAGTAACTTAGTGCTGATAATGGTTATGAAGTACTACTACGAGAGGACACTACGTTCATCGGAAGACAGCAGTGATGGGTACGACGCATGCACTGCAACCAATGCGCATGCTAGGGATGTGCGCAAAACCCATGTGCTCGGCGTGGCTGACTACGGCAGTGATGTATGCGGCACCGCTCTCATGGAGCCTGTTTCCATTTTAATATTTCATGGAGGAAGCTCAAATCGGACACAATGGAGCCGGTTATAATGATGACAGTCATGAGGATGCATTATCGCTAACAACGTAATCTAAACATCTGATCAATCATTTAGGTAGCCACGTAGCCGATCGATTGCTCTTTTGTGTAGTCTTTTCCTGTAGTGACCCTTGATTTTATCCTCGATTTACACTTTCTTCTTAAGGTGAACATAACGCAGTGTCGCCTACTTGAATGTGTTAGAAGATGATGCAGGCGTGCAAAATGGGAACGTGAAAGATGATAATTACCTTAACGGGGAGCCTCGTCATTTATTGCAGCATACTGTGTAGGCTAGTAGACAAAGCATTATGATTTATAAAAGAAAAATCTAGGATGAATTAGAGGAGTCATGATTGTTGTTTTTTTGTTTTTTCCTTTTCGTGCAGTCATCCCCCCGCTCTCTCCTCCGTCCCTTCTCCTTCCCCCTCTTCTCCTCTCCACCTTCGCCTCCTCCTCCGCCCGGTCCCTGTCGTGACGTCACGCCCCTCCCTGCTATCAGCACCAGGAACAGCCACAAAAAGCACATCTGTCCATCACCTGAGCCACATACACTTCAGAAATGCATTTCAATAATAGTGACTAATTTGTAAATGTACTGACTATTAATGTTGTGCAAAGGACCATTGATGCTTTTCAGCACTATTGCACACTATTTGATATGTTATTTTTAACGTTAAAACACATTTTACAGATATTGTTGGAAATGCCTAAAGAGATAAGAGTTTCCCCTTTGGGTTAGTCATAAATTCCTGCTGAATTGTTCAAACAACTTTATTTTAATATATAGTCGTAAGCCTTACATTTGCAAAGATCCCAAATGTGCCATGCTGTATGGTATACTTTGAGAAATGTATTATTAATGTGAAGAAAAATTGTAAACCAGTATTTTCATCAAAACGTATTTTGGGTGTATATTTCAGTGTCAAAACATCATAGAGCTCTGAACTCCATTAACTCAAAATATAAAATTCTGAAATTGCTTAAAATAAAAATATTTTACAACCTAAAACCTACTTAAGTGGAAAAAGAGAAAACCAAGTTTAATAAATGATGCAAATGATGCATGCATTTCTCACTTAGGCTACTGTATGTCACTGGTCAGCACGTCAATTATTTATCATATTCTCCAATCTGTTAATTGACCTGCTATTTGCTCATCAGTGATAGTGAAAACAGATGTGCATGATTAGGTTAGTTAGGCAATGTGTGATAGAGTGTACATATGTTAAAGGAAGGATTCAATAGGCATTTTGACTTGTAAGAAAAAGCACAGGCTAAAACAAATTCCACTGACGAACTGTCAGTTTTATCAAGTGCTCCAGTAGGCTTTAGCCAATACCTTGAAACTATATCCAACATACTGAGTGTTGGTTTGTTATGCTAGTCCCACTATGACATGCAATAAATACTAGACAGATAGATTAATAATTAACTCAAGTTGAAAGCAGTTTTCAATACCATTAAAACATAGCACTCTCCACATGTTTTCTACCAGTAAAATGACTTGTCACCCTTCACCACCACTGCAAAACAAAATGGCTGTGGTGGTCTGGGGTTATGATAAAACGGACGGATGGGAACAAAGTAACAGCTATAGAAAGCAAACAAAGGCTGTAATAAATCCCATTACCTTTGAGCTCACCTGCACCACACCTTGTGCAACATGTATCATTTAAAACTGAACTTTTTCAAATATTCAGTCACCAATTTGAGTCCATGCTATAACTGGTTTCACTTGTTGTGCACACTTTAAGAAATCAGTAAACAAATTATGCTAAAAGCGTTTTAAACTGTTTTGTTGATTTTAGTCTGGAGATGTCTTTACGAAGCCCCGCCTCCGCTCCTAGATCAGCTGCTGTAATTGGCTGACTGTTCAGCACCAACAGCATCTGATTAGATGTTAGTGCTCAGTGGGCGTATCAGGATGCAGATGTTTTGTAACAGCGGTACTATTAGATTATACAATATAGAAATTGCACATTTCTGTTAAGTTTCAAAAGCCGGTGCACTCTGTGTTACTCAATCGCAGAAAATGGCAACGGTTGACCTTGTTAAAGTTGGAAAGAACTTGTTGAAGAGCGGTGAAACTGGAAAGGTAAGAAATCTGCTTCGTTAGAAAGCTAATCGTACTCCCATGAGCTTTCCTCCTATTTCCTGTATACACGGTTTATTGGTTTGTGTTTGAAGGTGTTCTCTATATGAATATACAGCCGTTCTGTTAGATTGACTTCCCCGTAGAGACCTGTGTTTGTTCCCTGCTGATACCTGGCGTATTAAACCTGTCATTACCTCACAGCATGGCAGTGTAATTGGTGTCAAATTAAGCCTCCAGGTTGACACACGCTAATGATCATCTGAAGGGAACACATGAGGACGAGTCATTATGGAAGCCCATTTCCTGCTCTAAGAGGTTGTCAAAAATAATGACTTGGTAATATCTTAAAATAGGTGACTTAGTAATAGAGATTTGACTTAAGGCACATTTGATCGAGACTTGCAATCCTCTTGGATCTTTACAACCAGGACTTGTGACTTCACTTGGAATTGAGGATTATGACTTGAAAATAATATACCCTCATCAAAACCAAAAAGTATACAGTAGTCTATGCTATTTATGATGGTGTGCCATAAATCAATGCATTTCCTGAAGCAAATAACATTAACAATATTCATTCCCAGCAGGCTGACAACACTTAATTCCCACACATTAAAACCAATCACGCAGCATCCAATAAAGTTGCACCAGAGAACCATGAAGAACTAACAAACATTACTGGCTGCCAGTTGGAAATAATGACACAAATAAGGTAATTGTGTTTGCGTATGAAACCTACGTGGTGGTCAACAAAAAATGCAATCCTGGTTTGGGACAAGAGTTGGTCAAAAGCACATCCCGTAGTACTGGTTTAGAGCTTGATACTCAAAGATTATGGAGTGCAAAGACTTGAGACTTTCTTGTGACTTGCAAAACAAAGACTTGATCTAACTACTATATGCTTAGTATCTAAAAAAAAATGACATACTTTTACATGTTCTTATTCTGATTATTTGAGATATTATGTAATCATTTTTTAGAATATGTTCATCTTATTTTTTTCTTTAAATGGAGGAAATGGGCTTCCAAGGAATACAGATATTGCATTATTGTTTGAGTCTATCATTCATGTATAATAAAAAACTAAAACGATCAAATTATTATGATCACTATTTCCCATATATGTGTGTCACATGTTCTGAGTGTTCCCCTCTCTGTGTGATGCAGAGTGTGGAGCTCCTGTCTCTCTGGCAGGACCAGCCCGTGGTTTTGTTCTTCCTGCGCAGGTTTGGCTGCCAGGTGTGTCGCTGGATGGCAACAGAGATCAGTAAACTGGAGCCGGACTTGAGAGCCAACGGTGTAGCGCTGGTGGGGGTCGGACCAGAAGAGTTTGGACTGAAGGAGTTCAAGGAAGGAGGGTTTTTCAAAGGACGTAAGCATTGGCAATTCTCATTCATATATTACAAAACAATGGTATTTTATTTATTTATGTTGCACTGATCCATCAGTTCACTCCAAAACAAATATGGAATTTAAACACAGCTTTAATCTGCTCCACTTTAACTACCCTTACACTTCAGCCCTATTTGGTCAGTGGCAGTTTTGTCTATTCATTCACTGTGACGAAAGATGTAAAATATTACAACTGTATAAAGAAACAACAAAACACCTAATTTATTTTTGTCAAACAGATTTACCCAATACTTACATTTTTGGATTAGACAAGGTTTCGAATAAATAGAGTTTCTCAAGTACTTCATTAAATTACATGTTCTCATTATATGTTATATTTAATTCTACTTACCATTACAAAAACGGGAAATGCATATAGGATATAACGCAGTCTTATTACTTTTCGGCCCAGTAGTATACAAAGTATTTAAAATGTACTCTACAGTCATTGACTAACGACAGCAATTAAATGCTCTTACATGTATTTGTTAGTTGTAAAACAGTTTAATGTAAGATGTTATAAAAATATAGCAATTTGAAAGGAGTCCTTCTGCACTTCTACTTTTGTACTGTACGTATTTTTCTGCACAATGTATGAGACTTTGAAGCACTCCTTGGCTTCTGTACAGGGATAAAAAAAAAAAAACATAACCCTCATTATAACTTCAAGAAGATTCACCCTTGCACAACCTCATAACATCATATGTAACTCATGTTACACAATGTAATAATGTTATGTAACATAAAACATTGGGTGTGTCACAAGGATTTAGACATACATTTAACAGCCAGTCCTTTTGTGGGATAGTAAATATATATCTTCTTCTTTTAGCCGTTTATGTTGATGAACATAAGAAAAGCTACAAAGATTTGGGCTTCAAAAGGTGAGTAAAAATATTTTTTGTAATCTTAAAGTAATAGAGAAACAGTTTGTTTTATATGAACGTTTACTTTGACCCTGATGTAAAATGCTTTTATTTGTTAAAGATTATTTTAACTCAATTTACATACTTAAGAACAATTAATCTGTGACTACTTTGATTATCAATTAACTGTTTAGAGCAGACTTTTCTGGTCTTATTTGATGGTAAACTGAATATCATTGGTTTTTGAAATGTTATATTAATTAAACATTTGATATATCTCCTTAGGATGTGTGAAATGATAAGATGATCTGGGCTCGCCACTAATCTTCTCTCCTTAGAAAAGATTAGATGACTTGTGATGATCTATAATTTAAAAATGGTGTTTCCTCACACTCAGATACACAGCCTTAAGTTTGGTTCCTGCTGCTTTGGGGAAGAAAGTACGAGATGCAGCCTCAAAGGTATAAAGTAACTCCATATCAGATCATGACTTCATGGTTCATATATCCTACAAAAACAGAAGCTGATTGACACACTGACATCTGACCGCCTGTTTTCTCTGCTGTTCTCAGGCCAGTGCTGAAGGCATCCAGGGAAACTTCTCAGGAGATCTGCTCCAGAGTGGAGGCATGCTCATTGTGGCCAAAGGTACGATCAGTTTACAGCAGAGGGGGTGCTTGTGAGGGTCTCTTTTGTGAGTAAATGGAAAAATACACTTATTGAACTGGGGAATGTAAACATGTATATTACCTTTTAGCATTGCATTGATAAGGCTGGAAACTGAAGATAAATAAAAGGTCAAAGACATGCAATTTCTCAAATCCTCCTCTAGAGGGCAATGCTGCATTACTGGAAGTCTATAGGAAGCTCTCTAAACGCCTGTGCTCTCCAGGGCTGCTGACTTTCCACACTTCTTTATTTATTGTATCACCATTGGATTAATAATTCTCGTTAATGAGTCTACATAATGAAGAGACATTTGTTTTTGTTGTTTTTGAATGTTCCCGATCATACCAACTCTCTCTCTAAGTGTGCTCATACTGTTTTTATGGTGTGGTACGGGCAGCTTATTGTTATGGAGAAAAAGCAGCTAGGGAAAGTAGATCATTCTGTCTGACACCTCAATTCAAAAATCATGACTTCAACAAAATTCCTGTTTGGTGACATTTCTCACGAGCATTATATCCTGTTTGAGTACTCGCTGCTTGAAGCAGGTTAGGCCTAAATGCAAATGTTTCAGAGACAATTTACTTAATTCTACTCAAAGGTATTGATTAAAAAAGCTTTGAAGAGAAACTATGTTGTGCATATTTGCCAGTAACAAATCAATTTGAAATATGTTTAAATATTTTAGTCCGTGCTGTGTTTTATAACTGCTTTTATGTGTCAGAGTTCACAGAAGCAAATTCATTTGACGAGCTGTTTATTTGATCATTTCTCCTAAATATAAGTTTGCCTCTTCCAAGGTGGAGAAAAGGTTCTAATGCACTTCATCCAGGACTCACCAGGAGACCACCTAGCTCTTGAGGATATTTGCAAGGCTCTGGGTATCTCAGCCAATGCAAAGGCAGGACAGATGCCAGTGGTAAGACATCTCATAACCAACCATACAAGAAAAAACACATTATATTCTTTAGATACACACTATATTCATCTTCTTTTTTCTATACTTCCCCACTTAAACTTTTAATTTTCTATTTGTGACCATGATTACACTTAAAGCTCCAACCAAAGGGTTGAATACAATGGTATCATTGTGTTTACTAAACCGTACTGAACTGATGTCAGTCAGTTTCTTCCTCAGCAGACTCTGTTTTACGTCAGTAGCAACAAACACATCAGAGTAGCCTTTTCAAAGGCAATTTCACACTTATTACTCCATCTTCATGGTCTGTTAGTGTTCGTGTCATAAAACCCTTTAAACTTGAATGATGATCGCAGTCTGTATTGTACCTAAAAAGACCTCTGCAAACACAAACCCACAGGTTATAACAATACCACAAAGTAGTCTTAACAAAATCCAACAGAGAAGGGTCAGCATTGCCATGCCAATGGTAACAAATGATTACCAATTAGAGGGTGCAAAATAAACATACAATATTAAACCAACATGAATCTAAATGTATAAACTTTTAGAAGAAGGTATGAGCCACATAGATTCTGGTTTGGTGGTATTGTAATATAATAAACAGAAAAGAGAAAGTAGGATTTAAAATGTAGTCCCTGCTCTATACTATAAAGCACATTTAGAATTAAATTGCTCTGAGGTCATGGACATACTATCTCGTGTCCTGAGCATCAGACGTTTTGTACTGTGACCGTCGGGACTTTCAGCATGACCACTTTCAGCACATGCTCTTCAACGCCCATGGCCCCCGGCTCTGTTGGTTTCCTTCCCCCAGAACCCACCATGTCAGAGCTTTTGCAACACGTACAGTAGCCTTCCTCATGACCTGTCTGAAGACCAGAAACAGATGTCATTTTCTGAAGCCCGGGGGCCACATTTGGCGTCATGGTTGTCTATTAGTCATCACATAATAACCACAACATCATCAGATCATACCATCCTCTCATTTCCTTCCATGTTTACTGACTGCCTTACTCATGTGTGGAGGCAACATGCCTAACATTATCTTTAACATGAGCATTTTGCTTTCTGCTAACGAGCCAATTAAAACAATGTTTGATGTTATTTCATCAATTGGCCTTGTCTCTGGCTAGAAACATCAGTAAAAACACATTTTCAATATAATTTCTTCCACTTTAGTTTGTTTAGTGTGTTCAACAGTGGAAATAATGCTTGATTGAGTGCAGCAGGCAGTGTATATAGCTAATAATCTGCAGTTACACAATAATCCATATCCTAACCCTAACCTCACCTACCTTTTTTGATATCCTCGCAGACCATTTTCTTTATATATGTTCATATTTGTATCTGTACTATCATTTTATAATGTTAGGTCTTCCATACACACACACACAATATATTCCACATCTGTCCTTCATGGGATAGGGATCATCTCACTTGCTCTTCCTGAGGTTTCTTTTCCCCCCTGTTTTTTTTTTCAAATGTCTTATCAAGGTGTGTCATAAAATGTACAGATGGTAGGCAATTTGTCAAATTGGGCTATATAAATGATATTGACATAACTTCTCTTCTCTTGCAGTGCAATGATGATGTTTGTACACGATGATGACAGAGATGCCAGTCATACCAGATGATAATCTACAAATCGAATGGAGATTCCTCAGAAAGTGAACACGTATTAATAATTCCTTGCAATTCATTTGTTACAGTTGCACAATATATTACTGTTTATCTACAGTAACAGTGACACTGATTTTATAATCATTACTTTTAATGTAATTCATGTTTTTAACCTAACTAAAATGTGAACTTTTATTCATTTACATTTATTACACAAATTTTGTAAAATAAATAATTATTTATATGCTTATAATTATAATAAACTTTTAAAATTCACACTTGGCTTCAGTCAATAAGTCTTTGATGCAGACACGAGTAAAGTTCTAATACAAGTTGAGGCGTTATCTAACTTGTTGACATGACCAACTTTCACTACATCCATCATTTAAAACTCTAATGGCTCCATTACACGTTTTCACATTACCTTTATAGTGTTTACTTTTACTCACCTTCAACAACCCTTTCACACTTTATATCCACTGCAGTATTTACTCTCTATCAATGTGTTTACCAGATGCTTAAACAATTAGTTAAGATCAGATATTTAAAAAGTCACACAATTGCTCGCAATAAATAAAAAGCAGAGTCCAAAGATATTTTAATCCATTTCAATTTTGTGTTACCTTTGCAAAGATGATAGTGAATCCTAAATGTTTTCAACAACATTAAAGGTCCCCTATTATAGTGTTTTTCATCAATATATTATAGGTCTCAGTTATATACAAAACATGTCTCTGAAGTGTTTGGCTTGAAATACCAAACAGATCGTGCATTGCAGCATCCCATAATCCCCTCTGTTTCAGCCCTGTTTCAAAAGTGCTGCTTCTCTGTCTGTTACTTTAGATGAAAATAAGGAGCCCCTCCCCTCTGAGAGATATTTGGTAAAAAAGAACACAATGGTGCTCTAGGAGGAGATGCAGGTGATAAGGAGGGGGGGGGGGGGGGTTACCTTGGTTGGTGATTGGCTAATGGTTACACAAGCCAAAAATCGTTATGACATCATAAAGTGGCCAAAATCTGATCAGCTCATTTTCAGACAGGTTTTTATATAAATGGTTCAGGACAAAAAGTGAGCGAATAATTTTTCCTGAAACTTTACGAATCTCTTTACACAGAGGGGACACATGTTTATGTATAAAAGACATGAAAATTGTCTTGGATTTTGCATAATAGGTGACCTTTAAATTAAAATAACACATTTGAAGTAGAGATTTGAGATCAGACCAGTTGAGACAGTCACTTTAATGGCAATCTAGATAATTACATAGCAGCAGGAACATTCAGAAAACATCTTTAACGTCTAAAATCTTGCAAAGCAACAATGGTGTTTCATAAATATTCATATAGATAAATAAACTCTTCTGATGGGTATACATATCTTCATATATAACAAAAATGTGTTTGTACTTCGCTGGTAATTTCAAAACGACACAATTTCACCATGTACGTAAATGTGAAGCTAAAACAATGGTAAGAGGTGTACGCTTCTTTTCTTACCTTATTAAAAACTGTAATATGTAAATACTGCAGTATAGAACATCAAGTATCTACAATAACACATTGTATATTTACCCTTTAGAGTTCAGCTTACTATTTTGAACAGTTTGACGCTTTTTGAGGAAACAGTCCAGTCCAAACTGTTGCCCTTCAAACAGCAGCCCGTGATAAATCCGTACCTCGTGATTTATCCTTCAGTATTTCTCTGAACCAGACAAGATACATGTGCCTTGTTTAAATAAGTAGTTTGACATTTTGGGAGATACGCTCTTTTGCTTTCTGGAGAAGAGTGAGATAAGAAGATTGATACTCATGTATTTTGTCTGTTAAATGTAAGGCTACAGCAGTCGATTAGCTTAGCCTAGCAGACAGACTGTTTAATCTGTATTTACATTTGTGAGAATAGTCTAGTTGAGATGATAATTAATAATTAATTTATCTTTTTACACTAGTTTTTCATTCATCTAAAACGATATCTTTTATACAGAGTAGGCTCTCTAATTTCACAGAAAACGTTACGACCAAATGGCCGAAAAGAGCAGCTGAAAAATGAAAGCTTACAGCTGAACTATAACAAATTTGTCATACCATCCAATAAATGTTTTGAAAAATTAATTTTAAATTGAAATATTTCTGCCCAGCTATTGCTTAAAAAATAATATTTTTGCACAACAAAGTTCTTCACCGTAAAAACACTTTGTTATGCTGCACATGAATTCATAAAAAAATTGTTCTTATATTGGCTCTCTTTATGGCATTTGTTCGTAAACTTTTTCTGGGACCGTAGGGAGATGAGAACTACATACAATGCATATTGTTTTTCACTTAATTATTAGCTTGTCAATTTCAAAGGAACTGGAAGGTAGATTTTGTTACCATTGAATGGAGACAGAATGTTTTAGAGTCCGGACAGTGACTTTACATGTTGCCATTGAATTAAATGTTTTATTGTCCCAAATAAATTATAATAACAAAAATAAAACACAAGAATTAGAAAAAAACAAACCTCCAGGAAAGTATACCACACTTGTCATTTTGACGCCATAACTACAATCTAATATCTTATTGTGTTCCTAATTTTTTGTTAATATGAGTATCTTCAGTGAAGGTTTCCTTACCGTTTCTATTTAGTGTTTAATTTTTACTCACGTCCGCTGCAACAAGTGTTTATAGCACAAATGCCTGTCAAATATAAGTTTATAAGTGCCGATGTTTTCTTTTTCTGTTCCGGTTTTGTTTGCAATGTTTTTGCTCCTTACGGCCCGTCCACACGTAGGCATGCGTTGAAGTTTCAACGCTGCTTCCCATTCACTTTGAATGGGAAGCCGAACTGCATCGTGGTTCCGTCGCTTCGCTTTGCCTCCGTTGCTCGCTTCAAAAGTTGAGAAAAGTTCTACTTTTCAAGCTATGACGGAAGTGTCTGCCAATCAAATCATATGCCAGTACAAGCTCTAGCCAATCAAACTGCGTGCTTGTGTGTCCGGGGCGGGATATTCATGTGATTGGTTGTTGGTCAAGCTTCAGACACGCCCACCGGCAAGCTTCAACGCACGCTGCCGTGTGGACACTGCGTTAGACTAGCTGTTTCTCCCTTTTTTCTTTTTTTTACGCTAAGCTAACTGGGCCATCTGACTGTTGCTTATAATTAACAGACAATTTCTTATCTAGGTTAATCATCTCCCAAAATGACAAACTTTTTGCTTTGTGATGGCAGCACACTATCAGTGTAAACAGTCCTATTTTTTTTGTATCAGTGTCCTCTCCCTCTGCTTAACACAACAGTATTTGCCAATATGTAAAGACAGACTAAAGCTTCAATATGCACATTCAATTCTGTTGAGACCTAAAAGTCGTGTTCAGTTCACCAAGGCATCCTGAATGTGTCCAGTGACAAGCAAACCTTAAAAAAACCCGCCTGTTTGTTTGTGTTTCTGCTGTTTGAAAGCTCTCCTGCAGACAGTACCTCTCTTATGAGTTCTGCTCTGCTTTGATTCTCCTGTCATTACTTGATAATAAAGGTAGAAAATAACAGTCCTGGCCCTGGCCATCTCTTTAATGACAAGCCCCATTCTTCGGTGTGTGTGTGCCTGCTGGCGGGTTGTTCGGCTACAGCGGTCACCACGCTTCTGCACTTCATCCTTTCATCTTACACAGCACTGATCAATGTGAGATCACAGGGCACACCACTTCATCTGCTGCCTGCCCGTGTGTGTGTGTGTGTGTGTGTGTGTGTGTGTGTGTGTGTGTGTGTGTGTGTGTGTGTGTGGTGTGTGTGTGTGTGTGTGTGTGTGTGTGTGTGGTGTGTGTGTGTGTGTGTGTGTGTGGTGTGTGTGTGTGTGTGTGAGAGAGAGAGAGAGAGATGGGTTTGTCTTCTCCCTTTCCCTCAGCAAGTAATTGGGTATGCCCAGAGGTTCAAAGTTGTGTAATCACTGTGTGTTCTTCTCCTCTCAGGGGACGGCATCGCGAAGTAAATGACTGTTCTTCTACATATCAATCACCATGTTGAGTTAAAATTACAGATAGCATACAAGCAGACAATATAACTTTGAATAAATGTCCTACAACAAATGGCACCTGTTATGTGTTTACATAGCTTGATAGCCTCTCAAAATGACGTAACAGGGCGAATAGATCAGAGAGATAGAGGGAATGGGCTTCAAGCACACAACACAGCTGTGATTAGCAACCTACTGTATATCCAAACCTGTATCTACCCTGATATACATTGTTTTGTTTTTTTATCAATATCACAGGTGTTCTCTCACTATCTATAAAACAAGCAGGCGACTAGTACTTTTCAAAACATCTGGAATATGGTTACTTACAGGAAAAGACACACAAACAAACATTCTGCAGTGAGCAACAATCTTTTGCAGGAAGTGATAAAGAAACTTAGAAAAATTATCCTTCACAAAGTTCTGTGCATTTTAAATGTTTATCCACTCTGTAAGTGTACAAATGTTGAAAGCCGCAGCTCTTTCAGAATGTTAATTTAAGGTTAAATCTGCACAGATTTAACAGTCTTAAAGTCTTTAGGTAATTTGTTTCATGTAACAATGAATGAACAAACTCTCAGAGTGTGACTAATTATATTGTAGTTTACTTCGGCTAAGCCCTGAGCTTTCATTTATTTCACACTCTTCAGTCAGAGTTAGATTTGTTCACTATTGTTTCTTATGAAGTGGCACAATGTCTTAAAAACAAAACATTAGAGTAGAGATACCAAGGCAGCTTAGTGCCAAACGATAATGGATAAATCAAGAGATTTTTTAAAGATGTAGTTCAAGAAAGGCTGGCAAAGCATTTCAAACGGGCCATTTAAGCCTCAACCATTCTATATAGCCTTTATATTCATGTACCCACTCGTCATCTGCCGTGGGACAGAGCAAAGAAAGAACAAGTGACCTTTTCACCCGGAGACACCGCGTCAAACTTGAGAAGATACTCTAGCAAGTTTCTTTCTATACTGTACATGCTTCATGATTTGAAACTAGGGTGTAGTCCAGGATGTTATCCGTCTGCAGTATATGCAAAAATCTGTGTCGTTACTCTGCCCAAAATAAATTGGAAATAAGCAGGGATGTCTATTTGGGTTTAAGGTGGACAACTTGCTCTTATGATTTGAGTTGCCCAAGTCAAGAAATACATTTTTCTCAAGAGTAAAACTTTCTACCAGACACGACACTTCTGCTCGGGGTTCATCAGACTGCCCTTCTTGCACTGGAAAGCTTCTGAGAACGCTTCGAAATTCTGGAGAGATCCAAGCACCCTAAAGGCAAAAGAAAAACAAGACATTATGAAAAGAGATGAAACATGTGATCAGGGTCGGCGTCATGGGGGGTCATTCGCGGGCCATGCCCCCCCAAATGAGTCACTGTGCCCCCCCAACGCAGGGTGGGCAAGCCTTGTCACTTTGCCGATTTTTTCTTTTTTTTATCATATAGGCTAAGTGAAAACGTTTCCACTAAAGGTTTTTTGTGTGAAATACATCAGAAATAAATAATACAAATATAAAACACAGCCTGAGGTGTGCTCACTGCTGCTCTCTGATTGGTGTGTTGCTTGACCAATGACCCCCGACCTTTGTTTTGTTATCATTACGTGGCTGAGTGTTTAGATGAAAGCCCAGTGGCGATCTGTTAATCTGTTACACTGATTATACAGTAAAGCCATCAAAAATAATATGATATACAGTACAGTACAAGTACATGGGTCTCTGTGTTTCATTCAAGCTCTGTGTGTGTGTGGCACGAGCGTATTTTGTGAGTGCGCGAGCGGTAACGTGGAATGTTGTGGTTAGCATCTGGTTAGCTAGCTATGCTAACGGATATAAAGGGCTGTTTCTACACCAAGGTGGAGGAGAGTCCTCTCCTGTCAGACTGAGAGGATCTTATAACGTCAGCTCAGTGAGGTAAGGACTCTCTCAGTGTTTAGATAGTTCACTTTAGTGTAAGTTATCTCAGTGGGTCTCAAACGGTTTGGTCACCATTTATGTAAGTATTTTCGAGGAATACCTTTATATGATCATTATAGTTATTAAAGAGAGAATAAATGAAAAACGGGTATGAAATACTATAGGACAGTAACACAAGAATACAGTTTAAAAGGGGAGTGATTAGTGAAATATCCATAAAGAAAAAGTAAATCTGTGTACAGTTCTGTTTCATATGGATGCTGAGAGAGGTAGGCTATCCATAGATCTCTTCACTTTGCTCTCAAAGTGCACCAGATTGATGCATTTAACTTCAATATTTTAAAAATAATCTTCCCGGGGGAGCATGCCCCCAGACCCTCCTAGAGGAGGTTAGGTCCACCCCCACCTAAAACATGTTCACATGGATAGGATACTAAATACATTTGCACACTTGTTATATGATGGCCTATATCCAAATCAAATCAAGTTTTATTTATATAGCACATTTTTCAACGATTTTTGGTCGAGCCAAAGTGCTGTATATACAGTATAATACAAAAATAACCTACAGTAAAGACACTTTACAGCAAATACAACAGCACAGTTTGTGCAGAATATCAGTATGAGAAAACGACACCCTCTGTACTTATATGTTTCTGTTTTGGTGGTCGTGCCACAACCGTGCATGTATGCACAAGTCATAGGTGCGCTATACAATAGCACTACACTCCTGCAATGTGTGTGAAAGACAATAGACTTTACAGCATGTTTTTTTAAATTGAAGTTGCGTTGGTGTTTGTGTGTTGGTTGTTGACGGCATTGTGTGCCCCCCCTTGGTAAATGATTGCCCCCCCATTCAAGTTGTTCTAGAGCCGACCCTGCATGTGATGAATGCTAGAGGAGCACTAAGGTGGAATCAAGCTTCCAAGTTTTTACATTTGGATCAGCGAATGGGCAAGCTGCCCTGAAACCTGAGCTCCTTAGTCCATCACACAGAACATCAGGTGAGCATGACGTACAAATAAAAGTGTTGAATCTGGTTACATTTCAACCTAAAATATCTGATTTATTTTTGGCCACTTTGGGTTAAACCGCTGTGAACACAACACTAACATCCTGTCACATGTTATGGTAATACAACACATTTGTTAGCCAACAGTTGTCTATTTTCACATCCAGACGGAGCACCATTAGCATTTGATTTGTTTATGGCTGACTAAAAAACTATTTTTTACGTGTATGTTTTATTTGTTAGTCTCTATCAACTCATGACAAATATATCTGGTTCTTTAGCTGCTAAATGCTTCACTGTGTCTGAGCAGGTTGTATATAATGTTTTTTTGGAGCTTTGTTTTGCTTCAAACAGCTGCTTGCCGTGCACAAAAACAAGCAGATAGGATCTGAAGAGTTGGCATCACTACGATCACAATAGAGTGGTGTTTTAATTATGTCATTCAAACTAGCGATTAAGATATTAATGTTTATAAATCTGAGCATACTGAAGATCCTTACCTGTACTCTAAAGGACTGTGTGAGTCAGTCTTGATAGACTGGCTGGCATACTCGGGCCGATAAGCACCACACCATACCTAGAAAATAAAGGCAAAATCGACCTTAAAAAGCAACCATTGAAAGAAGCTTTCTGCTGTTAGTATTAAAACCACTTTTTACAAACTAGAGTTAGTGTTTCCCTAACTCATGTTTATATCATCATTTTACTTTGAATCTAATAATTATTCTACCTCTTATAGTGCAAGTTTAGCAAGTTATTTTGCTCATGGACCAACAGACCAATTGTGAAACTCACCATCTCAATGGGGAGTCCTGATCTGTTTAATTATTGAAGACCGTTTTCTACTTTTCTGCATAACATTTCCTGGCACCCAGATGCTCTTTACTTTGGCAGCTCCTCTCCATCCCCTATGTGAGTGTTTTGAGATTGCTTCACCAGCTAACCCTCTCCGTTTGTCTAAGTGTTTACTCGTCAGCACCAAAAAGCAGCTGAAAAATGCCCCCTCTGAGCTTTGGCTCTTGACTCCAGATTGAGAAATGATTGTCTGTCCCTTTGTCTGCAATATTAATACATCCAGAATCAACTTGTCCTCGTTAATCTTACGTACTTGGGCAAAGTTAAGAAAGAACAGTTGCTTGTGGTCCATGTCTAGACCAGGGAGACGAGAATCCTCACCGTTCATCTCCACCCACTTTAGGTAAGCCTGTAAATACACACATACAGTTAGAGATTTAGGATATGTTAGTTCATAACTAACATGTTGGACTTTGTCATTGTTCCTTAAATTGTTGGGTATTTATGCAGCTAACATCCAACCTTAAATGCTTGACGAACACCTCCATTGTCTGCAATGTTCTCCCCCAAAGTGCTGATTCCACTGACCTGCAGCCACACCGACAAAACCAAAAATACACACAGGCATGAAAACACTCATTCTGGTTTTTACTTAATGCATAGTTTACAATCTCTGGGATTAACGCCAAGACACAACATCTCATTTAATAAATGCCACTGGGTGCTTACGTTTTGTCCACCTGCCAGCTTCCAGTTGAAGTTGCCATATTGTTGCACCATGCACTGTGACTGATCTTTAAAATGCTCAGCAGAGAAATTACTCCACCAGTTCAGCATATTACCATCTTTGTCAAAATTACGCCCTGTGAGGAAACACAATGCATTATGTTAAATACTGTTTGCCAAACATGATGCATCTAACAGTAACCTGTGGCAGTCAACTTAAAATAAACAGTTATTTTAAAATGACAGGGAATTTTAAACTGTATCTATCAGTTTGGGGTTCCCAAAATATCCATGAGGAATAACTTGTGTCTGACCGTTGTCATCAAATCCGTGTGTGATCTCATGTCCGATAACCATTCCTATTCCACCGAAGTTAAGGGCCTGGTGCTGATGTTTACTGAAGAAAGGCGGCTGCAGGATTCCTGCTGGAAAGACTGGGAAAACACTAGGAATTAAACAATACAACTGAAATACACTAAGAAGTCACTGACTAACCATTAAAAAAACACATCTCTTATTTTTCCATAGAGGCAAAGCTCCTACCTATCTGATTCCTGTTGGGTGAGTAGAATGCGTTCACCACAGCAGCACCAATGATCCACCTGAGGAGTGATTGGTTTACAATTTAGAAAAGAGCATTAAACTGAATTTTCAGTGGTATATACCATGCTAGAAAATCCATGCACAGCGCATATTTTGCTTATGAAACAAAACATTAAAATCTTCACTACCAATGCTCTTTAATGATTACTTAATGATGTCACAGAGCAATCTTCACTTGTAGGACCTTTAGTTCTCCATTTTTGAAAAGTGTTTTGTTATGTTTTCAGAACAACCACGTTAACTATCTATGAAACCGACATTTATCGACCTCATCTTAAATGGCGTTCTGTTGTGATGATGTTTTATGTCTCATAGAGTCATACAAAAACACAAAGATTACAGGAGCTTTCGTTCATAAGGACAGTTTGCTCTTTCAGATTTATCAGCAGCTTACAAGTCTGGGTCGACTGGTTCTCTGAGCTTCTTCAGACTCTTCTGTGCTTCAGACTTGAGGTTTTCAAGGATGTTCTCAAAGTAGTTTTCTTCACTAAAATTCAGCTGAAACCGGACAATCAGAGATCAGTGACATGTCAGGTATTTCCAGCGTGGCTTAGGAACAGACCCAGTCCTTACTTACATGAGCGTACTCCTGGTCAAGCTTCTGGTTGCTTTTCTGCAGAATATGATCCGGATAGCCAATATGCTCCTTGATTGCCATGGCCTATGTGACATACAGAACGATTAGTGTGATTATATGGAACATCTAAAGAAGATAAACCCTTATATTTTTGGCTTGACTTCCTCTGATACCTTCTCTCTTGCCTTCTCCTTCGAAGGAGTATCCATCCAGCTCAACTCCTCCAGTGTTTCCACATACGCTTGCTGGATCTTACCGATAAGGTCACTAACCTGTGAACAAAGTAACACAATCTCATACAAGCTGTCATAGTTATGGGGTCCTGTATAACACATTATATTTTGTCTATAACATACTGTACATTGTGTTCATTTAACATATATTTAATAAATGATGTTCAAAGAATGCAAGGGGCGATGACAATAACAACTACTCTAACAATTGTGTGTGAAAAGCAGAAAATGCATTAAAGTGCACTTTAAGTCCAAGAGAAATACTCAGTGATTGTGCACATACCTATCAACCAACACATTTAAATGAAATAAGGCAACCTAGTCAGTTTTTGGCGCTGCAAAATAAACGCAAAAGTGCCAAAAGCGAGCCTTGAATGGCCATTTCAGGCTGGCGCTAAAAGCAAGTCAATCTCCATAAACCCCCATGGTAAAATGCTCAACTTTACAGCAGAAATAAATAGGTTTTACTGCTTGATACAAAATAAACTTGTTTTTGATACAATTTCAGGCATGCTTCAAAATTAAGCGTTTTAGGTATAATGATGTATGAGAACAATAATGTGTGTTTTGAACATCAAACTGGGGGTTACAGAAGTGAAGCCCTTACCATTCGTTTGCTTTCTCCAGCAAAAGTCTCATGCACATACAGAGCTCCAACTGCGTTCTCCATGCTGTTCTGGACATAGCGGACACATTCCCGCCACCAAGCATCCTCCACAGTGGTCCCGTAGAGAGTCTGACACAGACAGCAGACACATTGTAGGTCAGTTTTTGAATATGCTCATTTTATTATGTGCTGCCTTATCATCGTCATCGCACCTTTCTGTAACGGGCTCTGGTGTCTTTGAAACGGCGGCTCAAGCTATTAACCCTGTCAACAATGAGCTGCCAGGTGAGGTAGTTCTGCATAGTCCTGCAATTATAAAGTATACAATATCTTGTTAAAGTGTTACTGAATTGTAAATATTCTGTAATCTTTTCATGGACTCTGCGTAGCCCTCGTGGCCTGACCTGACACTGTGTTTGGGGAGAACGTCATTCATCTTCTCGAGGTACGGAGAGCTGTACACCACCACCTCCTCCTCCAGCTGGATGTCAACAGACACGCTGGCCAGCACACCTTGGATAAAACGTGTCCAGTTAAAACCCTGCAAAACAAAGAGGTAGGAGATGTTTTCGCGTATTAAATACATTTTTAGAGATGTCTTTCTGTTCTCAGTTTTATGTTAATCGAATGTGTTTGGGTTAAGGACAAACTAGTCAAGAGATTTAAAGACAACAGCTTGGACACTTTTTTCTGACATTGTCTTGACCAAATGTTAATTGATCAATATAAAAATAATTGTTTTTGCAAACCTACTTAAGAGAGAAGTTTGTTGTTTCCCCGCTTCCTGTTTTTGTGCTAGGCTAACGAGTAAGCTTCATATTAATTTACAGAAATTAAAGCGGTGTCACTCTTTTTATCTTACTTGGCAATAAGGCAAATTCAAGGTGTATTTAAAAAATGTTGAGCCATTTATTTGATGTGTGATATACAGATATTCTTACCCAGGTCTTAGTTCAACTATATAAACAATGTGCCTTATTTAAAGAATGGCCAGATGGTTCATCATTACCAAGTAAAAAAGCTGTCAACTTCTCTGCTCAAAGGCACCTCAAAGTACTTGTTTATAAAGCGGTAACATAATTGTTTATGTGTTTGAATAGGTGACTTTCAGTACAAAAAACAAATGAAATAACACGTACATTAAAGTTGAAAGTGCTCTGTAGCTCTCCAAGTGTCATCTTGTTGTAGAGAACGGTGACATCTTGGCGCTCCTCTGCCGGTGATGTGGCCTGTCCAACAAACAGGAAGGAAGAAGCTTTCCATAAACTGATCTTGGTTATATATATATTCACATTTTCTCTCCTGTCATCAGCAAAGTCTCATTTGTCCTGCTCTAGACAGACATTGACAAAAAGACCTGGTTAAAAGCTTGGCTGCTATCTTTCAACTGAAACAGAGAGGAGGTTTTCATTTTTCATCTTGTCATTATTCCTTTTTCCTTTGCCGCACAATTCCATTTCCTGTTGTGGCTGGCACTCACATTGGCGATGTCTGTCTCCAGCTCCAGCACTTGCATCATTTCCTCCCACACTCGGTCGTCATCCTGAGTCAAGTTCCTGTCCTCTCGAGTTATCTTCGCAATAGAAACCATGAAGTGTAGATAGGCCTCTCGAACCTACGGTGCAATCACAAGCTATAAAATGCTGTTTTCCAAAACAAATCACAGTTGTGTCAGATTAATGAAGGTGAATTGTATTACAATATTTTGTAGCACTCAAATAAGAAGAAAATGACAATGATACTTTTAAAAATATATATATATATAATCCAGGGACTATGAGAACTTTGAATTGTGATTTAGGACGGGCTGTCACTGTTGACAACTTGACGACTTTCTTGCTAGATTTAAAGACTTTATGAGCTAGTACTGATTCTCATTAGAAAAGAGTTGACACTGGGTTTTTAACTTGGACTTTTTTATATTTAGCTCACTCTTGCTGGCTTCTCTTCAATGATACCGAACCGAGAATTAAGATCAGAGATAATATGGACCTGACAGTGGACTGTTTCTTTAGTAAAAATAGGTTTTATTGCAGCTGTAACAAGTATTAATTATCATTCTGTCAATGATGTTAACACCAAAAAAGGAAATCCCTTCATCCAATTGTATTTTAAATGATGGAGGAAGAAATCTGAGCGAAAGGTTTCTCCATATTTTACGAATAAAACAAAAATGATCTCCATGATCGGTGATAGTATACAGTAGTCAGAAAATATGTTTGAGAACTTACTTTTTTGTAGTTTCCATCGTTGAAGTAATAGTCTCTTGATGGCATTCCAAGTCCCGGCTGGTCAATCTAAACAGATTTACAAAAATAACATTATTTATGTTATTGTTGGACTTTGGTGAATTCTAACCAACAGTAATAGACTAGCAATTTACATGTTCCTCAAGGTTAAATTACAGTTTTTATCAATTGAGTATTGAGTAGAGGGCATAGATTACTGATTTGATTTGGTTGGCCTTTTAAGGTGGCTAAAATATGCGTTGCTGATGCTCCCATCCACAGCAGTACAATCACTCTGCTTTTATGGCTATGACTATGTACCTATGTAATAATAAAGTACATACAATCCCCTTAAAACAATTAGAAACTACTCCTTTAAGAGACACACAAACACATAATGGCTCTATAAAGACATCATGACTGTTAAGTGTTGTTTTGTGGTCTTACATAAATTATATGGCGCCGAGAGTCCCGGTCGTCCGTCCACACATACATGTCCAGCAGAACCTTCTTGTGGAAATGAGCGGTAAGCTTGGCCAGAGTGTCCTCAAGGCTCCATGCTTCCTCTGCAATTACAGGGGGGGGGGGGGGGATTTAATGTAATGCAAGGTAATCTTTTTGTAAATAACTATTTAATTTAGAATCATGCAAAAATGAGGCTCCCTCTTCTTCCGGTGCACATTTAACTGGGCAATCTGTGTAAATCTATGTGTGCAGATGCGTTTTATGTTTATCTGTCTATGATTACATTTAATTAACGAGGCAAGAGCCAGGAGCTTGGGGAAGAGCAGTGTAGACTATTTAAAGCCCACTTTACAATCCTCAGTGAGGACCTGCTTCTACCTACTCAACACACTCCCAAACTCCACACATGACCGCTCTGATGAAGAGCCTTGGTCGGACTCTTGACAATTGTGTAGAATTGCCTAGTCGTACACAGCAATTCTACATGTGTGAGCAAATGTATCTGAGTAGGACGTATTGCAGGTGCACATGTGCATGTTTGTACAGAACAAGCTGTGGACATTAGGGTGTGTTTGTACCGGTAGTGATGTTCCAGTCATCTGTCGCCACAGGCCAGTCCCCGATACTCTCGATGAGCCTCAGGAGGGGCCTAGAGTCACGCTGTTCTATGAGGCCTGCACCAAAAATATATATAATATAATGATATATATATATATTATAAACATGCAACCACACTTTAGTCCCTTCATTCTGTCGGAAAACCACATTATTAAAATTGAGACTTTTAGTTTTATCTTTGAAATATCAAGTGAAAAAACCAATTGCAACTCACAAATACTTTTTCTTTTTCACCACCATGGATGAGAAATCAATAAAAGGTTAATACATTCTGTAAGATACCCTGCTAGGCTGCATCTGGTTAGTATCTGCAGGTCCTAAAGATTCTTCAAGGTTATTAAAATTCAACATTTTTAAAATTACATTTTTGAAACGTTTAACTTGGTGATCCTCTGCAGAATCCTGGCTGTGTGATAGCCTGCTACATAAACAACTTCAGAAACTGTTATTTATATGGTTTCTCAGAATAAAACCCGCATTTTCAGACAGCAGAAAGAGAGCCTTACTCTCATTCATGCAGGAGTTGTAAAGGACTTTGGCCTTCTTGATGGCATTTCTGTCCTCTTCATTGTCCGTCTCGAGAACACCTGAAACGACAAAACACATGCATGCAGACATTGTATCTCTGAATGAAGCCCCCTCATGGCCCTGGATGCTGCAGTCCACTGAAACCCAGCTGACCTTTGAGTACAATCTCTAGCTTGTCCCGCAGAATGTCAAAGATGCTGTGGCGGGAGCTCGTCTCCGGGATCACGTGTCTCTCCAGCCAACCCCCGCAGGCGTACTGGTAGAAGTTATCACAAGGCTCCACAGACTTATCCATGTTCTGCAACAGCCGAGCAGCTTTGAGGCATCACAGAGACAATAGAGGGGAGGGAGGCAGGACAGTGAACATCGTAATGTGGATATAACATACTTTGAAAGGAAAGGGGGCTGACTTTGTTTACAAAACGGAACAGCAAGAGAGCGAATAAGATAACAGTCCCTCTCACCTGCAGTAACACAGTCTGCAGTTGTACACACACTGTTGGAGCGAATCAGCTGGCCTGAAACAAATCAGTGTCAACATTCATGAGAACGCATAAGCACCATTGGACAAACTACCCCCAGACTGAGACAAGGAGGATGTTGTTGTGTGAAAAAGCTCAAACTAAATAGATGTATGTGTGGTCTGTGTGTGACGGTCAGTGTCTGTGTCAGCAGTGACTTTGTTCTTTCACTTTTGTGTGGCAATGCTGATCAGGCAGTAAAGGGAATTACAGTGACTATCAGAGGTGCAGGCTTCAATATGACACATGCAAACCCACTTATCCCACGGTGCGACCTGTGTTGAGTTTATAAGCTTAAAGCGACCAACGCTCACCTTCACTTGTGCTCCTCGACAAAGTTGTCCTGTTGGATTGCTCTGCATTGGTTGGAAGAAACATGAACAAACATTATACACAGTCAGGGCATCTTATAATGATCAATTATCATTTAAGCATGGGGAAACATTTATGTCCCAGGCAGAGTTGTATTTGTGTTTGCAAGTCAACAAAATCCTGAAATAAAGAGCCTGCAGTTAAAAATTGTTATCATTAAACCTGTCTGTGTGTATAGTTGATATATGGTATTTTGAAGTGAAAGCCTTATTTTGCTGGAGTAACACTAACCTTTAAAAATCTCTCAAAAGGTTAGCCAATGAAGTGTGCATCAATATTGCATCTGAAAGCACGTCTAGGGTCAGGATTATTTCCTGTGTCGATGCCAACTCACAGTCACACATACAAAGCAGGAAGACCCTCCATCTGTAATATCTGGATCTTTCCTCAGTGATCCATTACCTTTCACAACCGATGTGTAGAGGACTGCCAACCCAGCCAAGGCACAGCTGACCAACAGCAGCAGCACAGACAGACCGATTTCTGCAACAGTCCAACGGCGCTTTCCAGGTTTACTTGATTTCTCCATGATATCCATTTGGCTTTCGGATTTGCCCATATTCCTCCTGACTGCCGGCTCTGTGGGAAAGACACTGTTAGAGTGTGGGATGGTCCAGGCAGAGAGAGAGAGAGGTGTGTGTGTGTGTGTGTGTGTGTGTGTGTGTGTGTGTGTGTGTGTGTGTGTGTGTGTGTGTGTGTGTGTGTGTGTGTGTGTGTGTGTGTGTGTGTGTGTGTGTGTGTGTGTGTGTGTGTGTGTGTGTGTGTGTGTGTGTGTGTGTGTGTGTGTGTGTGTGTGTGTGTGTGTGGGCAGTGATCCATCAGTAAACTGTGCCAGCCGACCTGCAGTGAGTGAGCTTCAACTGCTTAACACCTACAACAACTTCACTGACAGGAGTTGTGAAACTGTTCTGGTCTCGTTGCAGAAACACAGTTTGACACTAGACAAGTTATTCTTGCTATTCTGGTTATTTCTGCAGCCTTTGCATAACTATTTTTTGAGCATGTTGAATACACAAAATATGGCCTTTAAAATTCATAATAGTCTTAATAAAAACTAAACGGGATGAAATTCTCCTTACATGTATTAATGCTATCTTAATGTGAGATCAACTCATAATGGACTGGGAGATTAAGTAGGAACTGACACAATGACTGCTTTGTCTATATTAGCTTTTGTTTGCTGCAAGGGACATCATTGGTTTCCAACCTGGAAACAATGAGTTGACTTTGTCATGTGAAATAGCTGATACTATCTCAATATTTAAAAAATCCTCGGAAGGAAACAGGAGCTGAGAAAAAAAGTCCACACTTCAACCAAAGACAGTGAAAAGTAGAAATACCTTTGTTTTAATTGCTCACAAGCCAAAAATATAAGAATCCTCAGAAATAAGGAACTCAAACATAAGTGATGCATTTATGTGTTATGGGAGCTTGATAGGTCCAGTAGCGCTAATGTTTGAGCTATAAACACGAGTTTTATTTTAATGACTTGTGCCACAGGCCAGTATGAGTAAATGCTATTATTGTCCAATTTGTAAAGGTAGTTTGGTAGCTGTCTTTATATGTACATTGTTATTTGTCTTAACAATATTTGTGTTAAACCAATCATTCAACACCTTCTCTTTCCATTTTGAATTTGAAACAGAAATCATACTAAGTTCTCTCAGTAATATTATTATTTACTTTCCCCATATAGCCCAGCCCTTCTGCCACATAGTGTCTTGCCTGTTGAAATGATTATTTTTACTTTAATAATGATAGTTCTCAAGGGACCAGTGCCCCTGTTTTAATAACTTGACCACATTTTGTTTAGTGCATGAGGGACATTATTTTCCACTTAATCATTGAGCTCCATCTGTTGTTAATATAGGAGAGCCAGTCATTGTGTATAATTAATAAGACATTAATTCTGGAAACAATTTGGGGAACAGAAACAGATGAAATATTTGCCCAACACACACACATGCATGCTATTAGGCCTCTAGACATAGCCTAAGCCCATACTTCAAGAGAGCTAATTTCTCTGCACAATAATGATGTATGTGTGAACACAATATTGCAAATGAACATTTGTGCAAAGGACAAAACCACAATCACCCGTGGCTTTCAGCAGCATTGCTTTGTATCTATTCACTCTGCAGCACCTGTTTCTCCATAACCAGCACCATTGCCCTATCATTAGGCCTGACAGGGGACGGGCTGTAAATCAGAGGTCCACACATGCTGTGCCCCATTAGCCCTAACTGATGAATACTCATGGGCACATATCTGGCACTACAGTGATGAAGAGCAGGCAGGGGCTTGTTAGAGCTTCACTCACTGACACCCTCAGTATCACAGTGCACACAAACGACTCTGAGGCAAAATCCAGCCATACTGCATCAGGAAGCAAGACAGGCCTCACTTAGCTATAATGTGCAGTCCACAATGCAAGATCTACATCTTTGAATGTCCTCAGATGTTGAGCTGCGCTCCATTTCTGTTTAATTTCTCCCTGTTTTTGGGAGGAATTCAGGCATTTTATATTGTATTTATGAATAACCCAATGCATAATAAGTCTGTGGCTTCTTTCCATTTCAATAAAGCAAAATGACAAAAAAGACATGTAAACAAATTAAAATAATATCTATTTTAGGAATTGGCAAAATGGCTTTACAAAAAGATAATTCTCCTTGGAGCAATACATCTGACTCACAAGCCTTTGGTAAATCCAAAAGAACATTATGTCAGCCAACAATTTTAAATATGAAAAAATGTAATGTAGACATATATAAATGTAGTGTTTTATCTGATGATTATATACTGTATTCTTTATTATTTTTGAAACATGCTGTTAAAATCAAGTATAATATGACACATTTTTACTTTCTTCCTAGCTTAAAATAAATAAATCATTATTTTATATATATAATTTTTTTTTTTTTATGGCTGGAATTGTACTTTTTATTGTGATTGCAGACTGTCCTAGTATTTGTTTAGCCTGACAGACAAATCCCAGGGCCACAATTTTACGGCTGCCTTTTGCAATGAGTGCAAGGTAATAAGCGGTGCATTTGCAACAAAAAGAACAACAGAAAGAAGCCAGGAACAAAATAAAAGTCTGCATTGACAGAGAAGATCTGCTTCTCTTCCTCCAGCTGCAGCACTACACAACATCGTCCAGCTTCATGCTCGTGAACCACAGTGAGGCTTCTGCAGATTATGTGTCAAAGAGGGAATAGTTACAATAAAAAAAATTTTTTGACAGACTAAGCAACAATATTAAGATTCATTACTGGTTTGCATTTCCAAAATGATCTAAAGTCAAGCAAAAACACACACATTTAAAGCAAACACATTGACCAATAGTACCACCTTCCAGATCCTTTACATTTACTAAAATCTCTGACCGTTTCAAGTTCCCAGTACACCTTCTACATCATGAAAACAATAGATATAAAGCTTTTATTTTCTACACATGTATGCACACAGGTTAAGACAGATTTATATAAAGACACTGATGATTCAACCCTAATTGAGGACCGATTGGTAAACATGTGGTCGTTCATTTACTGAGACTAACCTTAAAGAACAATTTTCTACCAACATGAAGTAGGTAGATGTGCATTTTATATGCATGAAATAAATGTTCACAAAGCAGTGGCATGGTGTAAACTTACAGGTCAGAGATTTAAATTAAGCCTTTCTCTGAAGGTGAGACCAATCAGTGCTGAATGTTTTCAGGTCTGCTTGTTTTAAGCACATTAATTAAGATTACGTTCAGTGACTGGTACAGTTCTTCTCTAAACGTACTGCAAAACAAGGATTAACTCGCAGGTCAGACTGCCAACACACGTTCTCTGGTTCAGTATAATTTGCTTTGCTACTTATCGTATAGTACACCTCAAAGTCTATAAATACAACTCAAAATCTTAAAACATTTCTCAAAAATCTGTCCTGGGACAGCCGAGGATCTGGCGGGAGTGATTCCTAAAGGCTGCCGTTTCAGGTGGCTAACTTGGCTTTGGTGCTTCTCAGCAAACAGGAATCAAATCTGGAGGATCCAGAGGCTTACCTTTGTATGTGGATGGTAGAAATCCCTGTGCCGTTTCCCCCCACAGCGTGCTAATATCTCAAACACCCCTGCTGAGCATCCACTCAGAGCTGGTGTGAGAAATGAGTCCGTGCTGCGGGTTGAAGGAGACGTTATCCAGCTCAGTGTGCTGCTCAGGGAATGAGTGAGGCAGCAAAGGGAGAGGGAGAGCAAGACACAGATGGAGGGAGGGAGAGCAAGACACAGATGGAGAGAGAGAGAGAGAGAGAGAGAGAGAGAGAGAGAGAGAGAGAGAGAGAGAGAGAGAGAGAGAGAGAGAGAGAGCAGATGGGAGGTGATAGAGCATTGTTTTCGGTCCTATGATAAGATGTTGGATATCTGTTTGTTATGAGGGGATGAGGATGGTTACGATATGTGTGTACCTGAAGGGTCAACAGGATGTGTTACAGTGAGCATACATTTCCCCTTGTTCTCCCTGTGGTGTGTCTCCAGCTGGAAAGGAAAGGGCAGGAAAATCTGGAAAGCTTGCAGGGAGATAACACAAACGTGTTTGTAAAGCTCTCTGCAGACAGATAATCTTGCAACTGAGTTTCTAAACCTCTTCAAGCTGTTCTTATATCCCCGTAGCCATAAAAAAAATTGATTTATGCCCCCCTTGTAATCACTTTAAAAAGAGACACCACTGTTGTTCTTGTCATCCCTCGCTCATCTCATGTCCAGGAAGACTTGTCCTCATGGAGATCTCAGATGCCAAACGTGTTTCTCGTTGGGATCTGAACCCTGGCCTGGTGACAGATTGAAATGGCATGGTGCCCAGCTCATTATCGGCCTGATTAGCCACACTAATTAGCTGATAATAAAAGGAGAGTGTGTAGCTCATGCACACAGCAGTTGCTCAGGTGGCTGAGAGTAAACAAAATTGAGTGGATCGAACCCAAAAAAAGAACATGCATTCGATAAGTTAAAGATCCTTTTTTGATGTGCATTATTTAAATATGTTGAAGATTAATGTCACAGAAATGGCTATAAGTGAGGGACCTTGCAGTCATTCAACAACAACATGACTGATGGAGGGGAGGCGAGGTCTCGCAACTGAGATACTCATTTATTCATAGGATTTATTTAGCAGAGGATGTTTTCTCTCATATAGACATTGTGTGAAGTGCAATATAATTGATTGATTTGATATCCTTAATATTGAAAATGATATTTGGCCTCACAGACATTAAAAAATGTCATTGTCCTTCTTTAAGATTTATCATTTGAGTACATATGGTGTAAGGTATAATACTGAAATTAAAATGTGCAAAAATGTTTGCTTTTGGATTTCAGTCATATCTTACCTAGAACAAATTCAATAAAAAAAGAACACTTTTGACACATTGGCAAACTTTGGATGGCCCTTTGTTGTCTCAAAAGGATAAACAATTTAATATTTTATCTTCTAACAAAAGGCTTTTTAATAAATGTAAATACTCATGACATGACATTCCTCATCCCCCATGAGATGGATTAAGTCATCATCTGATGTAAGGCAAGGCAAGGCAAGTTTATTTATATAGCACTTTTCAACACAAGGCAATTCAAAGTGCTTTACAAAAAATGAAAGACATTAAGAAAATGACATTTAAAATCAGTCATTAAAAAGAAAAGCTAATAAAATAAACATTAAAAGAAAAAATACATGGATAAAAGTTACAGTGCAGTTTAAGATGTGAATAGTTCAATTAAAAGCAGCGACAAAAAGAAAAGTCTTCAGCCTGGATTTAAAAGTAGTAAGAGTTGCAGCGGACCTGCAGGTTTCTGGGAGTTTGTTCCATATATTTAGTTCTGACTCTGGGGACAGAAAGCTGACCAGTCCCTGAAGACCTGAGAGATCTGGATGGTTCATAATTTAGCAGGAGGTCAGAAATGTATTTTGGGTCTAAACCATTCAGTGCTTTATAAACCAGCAGCAGTATTTTGAAATCTATTATTTGACACACAGGAAGCCAGTGTAAAGACTTCAGAACAGGAGTGATGTGATCCACTTTCTTAGTGTTAGTGAGGACTCGAGCAGTGGCGTTCTGAATCAGCTGCAGCTTTCTAATAGATTTTTTAGTGAGACCTGTGAAGACACCATTGCAGTAGTCGAGTCTACTGAAGATAAAAGCATGGACAAGTTTTTCCAAATCCTGCTGTGACATTAGTCTTATCCTAGATATATTATTTAGGTGATAGTAGGCTGATTTAGTAACTGTTTTAATGTGACTGTTGAAACTCAGCTCAGAGTCCATGACTACACCTAGATTTCTGGCTTTATCTGTTGTTTTGAACATTGCAGACTGAAGCTCAGCGCTAACTTTTATACGTTCTGCCTTGGCTCCAAAAACCATTACCTCAGTTTTATCTTTGTTTAATTGGAGAAAGTTCTGACACATCCAGTCATTGATTTGTTCAATGCACTTACTCAGTGTTTGAATTGGAGCATAGTCTCCTGGTGAAATTGTTACGTAAATGTGTGTGTCATCTGCATAGCTATGGTAACTTATTTTGTTGTTCTTCATTATCTGAGCCAGTGGTAGCATGTAGACGTTAAAGAGAAGAGGCCCCAAGATGGAGCCTTGAGGTACCCCACATGTCATATTTGTCAACTCAGATGTGTATTTACCTATAGAAACAAAGTTGTTTCTGTCCTTTAAGTAGGATTCAAACCAATTTAGAACTGTTTCCGAAAGTCTAGTCTAGTAATATGCTGTGGTCAACAGTGTCAAACGCAGCACTGAGATCTAATAATACTAACACTGAAGTTCTGCCACTGTCTGTGTTTAAGTGGATGTCATTGAATACCTTTACAAGAGCAGTCTCAGTGCTGTGGTTTGGACGAAAGCCTGACTGGAACACATCGAAACAGTTATTTAAATGCAAGAAATTACTCAACTGTTGAAAAACAACTTTTTCAATGATTTTACCTAGAAATGGGAGGTTTGATATGGGCCTGTAATTGTTCATTACTGAAGCATCTAGATTATTCTTTTTAAGAGCGGATTAATGACTGCAGTTTTCAGGGCCTGTGGAAAAATACCTGAGTGAAGAGATTTGTTTACTATATGAAGTAGATCTGAGGCCATGCTAGGCAAAACATCTTTGAAAAATCCTGTTGGAATAATATCAAGGCAGCAGGAGGAGGACTTCAGGCGGCTAAATCACTGGTATCTTTTTTATTTATAAAGCAATGTTAGGGAAACTTCCATCTTACATCTGTTCCCTGATCTCACAGCGTATTGTAAATGGCTACTGCCTGAGATCTAAAGCTGTGGTTGTATTAAATGTGCCAACTGCTAGGACTGTATTAGGAAATACAGCTTTTAGATGCGCAGCGCCGCTAGCATGGAACAGTCTACAAAAGGAATGGAAGCTAAGCAGTTTGATTCCATTTCATGTTTTTAAAGCTAGGATAGACGCTATACAATCAGAACATATTGGTGTCTGTAAATGCTACTAGTATACAAACTGTAGTATCATATAATATCCTTTGTTTTCTGTCATGTTTGTATTAATGTTTGGAACTAATTGAAGCAGGTCACCATTGTAAAAGAGGTCTATGATCTCAATGGGTTTTATCTGTATAAATAAAGGTTTTGAATTGAATTGAATTGAAGAAGTTGTATAATGTCCTCTAGGTTTTTATCATTAATCTGATGGAATTGTGTCATGGTGTTTGAATTGATTTTAGGTGGACACAGAGACAACACATTTGCTGTTCCTGATGCAGAGGCACTGACTGCTTGTCTGATTTTCTGAATGTTGTCAGTGAAGAAGGAGGCAAAATCATTGCACGCCCTGGTGGATAGAAATTGAGAGGCTACTGACACTGTTAGTCTGTCGACGGTAGCAAACAAGGCACGTGCGTTGTTTTTGTTTTTGGTAATGATGTCAGAGAAGAACGATTGTCGTGCATTTTTCAATTCCAAATTATAAAGGCCAAGTCTCTCTTTATAGATTTCAAAGTGAACCTGGAGATTTGTTTTTCGCCACCTGCGTTCAGCTTTTCGACATTCTCTTTTTTCTGTTTTCACGGTCATGGCCTTTCTCCATGGAGATATTTTCTTGCCAGACACTTCCTTTACCTTAGTTGGAGCAATGGCATCTATAACATTTTTAATTTTTGAATTAAAATGATCTACTAGCTAATTTACTGAGATGTTAGCAGGGGCAAGTGTGGAAGAACAATTCTGAGTAAACATTTCCCTAGTATTTTCAGTTAAATATCGCTTTGTGGTTACCTCTTTTTGAACATTTTTGTGAACAGAAATAGAGCTCTCAAAGAAAACACAGGAATGGTCAGAGTGCAACATCAGTCACCACAACCTTAGAGATATTCAGACCCTTTGAGATAATTAAGTCCAGAGTATGCCCCTTATTGTGCGTGGGCTCCGTCACATGCTGAGTCAGTATAGCTATCAAGAATACAAAACAGTTATTTTGCCCCTCTGTCCTGGGGGTTGTCAACATGGATGTTAAAATCACCAACAATGACTAGACAGTCAAAGTCAATACACACTATAGACAGCAGTTCGGTAAAATCATCAAAAAAGCTTGCACAGTATTTGGGTGGTCTATAGATATTTAGGAACAGAGCTCGAGAGGAGCATTTCAGCTGAAGGGCCACATATTCAAAAGAATCAAAGTTCCATAAGATGTCTTCCTGCATTGAAGGGAATCATTGAACAGAATAGCAACTCCACCCCCTTTCTTATGCATTCTTCCTGACTCATAAAACTAAAGTTGGGAGGTGTTGATTCGATAAGAACAGCTGCACTGTTATTTTGTTCAATCCAAGTTTCTGTTAAAAACATAAAATCGAGATCGTGCTCAGTGATAAAATCATTGATTAAAAATGTTTTTCCTGCCAAAGACCTGACATTTAATAAAGCTAGTTTAAGTTCGTTAAACACACTATCAGTCAGGTTTTTTGTAACAAGCTGTGGCTGACATGGAATCACTGCTAAATTAGATAAACTCACACAAACGTTTGAGCGCTCCCTGTATCTAAGATGATTCACCGCTCTTAATCTATTACCTATCAACACAGATATCAGCAAAGCTACAGGCAGGCAGGGCCCCGGCATGTCCTGGAAAGAGTTGAGAGTGCCATACGCCCTTGAGCCTGGACCCAACAGATATCAGTTTGCAGCGTTTTGTACACACACATCCCTA